TTTCAAGAAGAGGCTATTAGAAGGAACTTAGGGCTTGCAGTAGGCGTTTGTAGGAGGCTCTAAGGAAGCAGGGCTTTGCTCTGGGTGGGGTTTTGCCACGAAGTGGGGTAATTCTATGGCTAGGTGTCTTACTAAGTCTCATCCAGACAGAGGGACGACTAACATGATGCTGGAGCAGGTGAAGGATTGGTAAAGCAGCAGCAGCCACTCCTCCAGCCAGAACAGGTGGATGCCGGGTCATTTTTGTGGTTTGGACAATGTTCCTGTTTTGTCTGTGTGCAGACATGATTATGGAGTGATCTTGTTTTTTCCCAGTCTGTCACATCCCAGCATGGCCTTAGCAGATGCTGGTGTCCTGTGAGGTGGGAGAATGCCAGGGCTACAGACACTTTGGTTTGCAACTAGCACACCTGGGAATTGCAAGGTGATCACAATCTATGATGAGTTATAGTATTACTAGAATCCTGATGCACAAATTCCTGCACCAGCGGTGTCCCTCTGCCTGGCCTGCAGGATCGAGCCAAACTGGCTCTCCGACATCCCCAAGGGGTTCTGGATTGCAGGAGGGTGCAGGACAGGCCGAGGGACCCCACCAGTGCACAATCGGGGAAGCAGGAGGTTGGCCAGCCAGGGAGGGACTGCAGAAGGGCTCCAGGGCATGTCCGGCCCATCTCGCTCAGTCCTCACTGGCTGGGCCCCAGAAGCAAGCTCACCTACCAGTCAGAGCATCTTCCAACTGGTGGTCAATGCACATCATAGCGAGTGGTTGAGTAGCCTTAGCATATCATTAGCATATTATGCCTTGATTGGTTGAACAGCCAACGGGATGACCAGACACTTAGCATATTAGGCTTTTATTATATAGGATGATGAAATCACGGGCAAATTGCCTAAATCCAGTAAATCTGAGAGGCTACAGGTTTTAAGTGTGATAAAAGAATAATTTCGTGGCTATGTGTTGGGAGAAGCTACCTTAGGAGAAATGGCTTCTTCACTTTAGAAGAAGCCATTCAACTCTACTCTTCTACAGCTAGTTCTGTTCCCTCAGTCTATAGGCCAGTTCATAATGCAGACATCCAGACTCAGCTAATTCTAGAAATGCTGATGTTACAATAGACATAAATGTTTCTCTACAAACTCACAGGGGCCAAATAAACATTACTTTATTTCTGTGAATCAATTTAACCTGAACTCCCTGTCACTTCTGATAAAATATTTTATCTCAGGCATCTTGAGGGTGGCCGTCTTTCTCCCTAGAATTGAATGTGAATTCATGGGACTCATGTGGCTCCCAGCAAAGGACAGAAGAGTCTGGTTCTCCCGACTGCTGTTGCTGAGAAGCTCATTCTCCGAACCACTCAGCCAATGGGCAGGCAGCTCCATCCTTTCACACTAAAGACTCTTTCCCCTCATCCTCAAGGCCCTGACTGTCTCTAGCATCCACCCCTCCATTCCAAAGAGCTTGTGTCACTTCTGAGTGACTGCGTGGAAAGAGCATAGGTCTATGTCACTCAAAGACTAAAAAAGCCATCCCCACTCTCACCTCAGGCAAGGGCCACTTCCACCCTCTCGCTTCTTATAGAGGAAGGAATAGGAGTTTACCTATCATATGTGAGTAAGCATGTCTTGAAAGGAGAATACTAAAAATGTTGACTGTATGCATTCCTGGGCTTGCAGGTTAGAATTCTAGGAACTCCTCCTGTTGGGTTAGGCCAGTGCTGTGCTAGAGCTCTCTTGGCTCATACAAGCCAATAATGAGCATTTCTTTCTGGCCTATTTTCAGTAAGGTAACGTGGGTAGCAGCAGGCAATGATAGGAGTGACAAGCTGAAGGTAACAGTTTAGGGATCAGGGACCAGAGCCAAAAACAGAGGGGTATTTAATTGTGAAGGCCAGGAAGTGAGGTACAAGGATAGTAGAACTGAAAACATCAAATGGGAAGGGCTGGATCATTCATTGGAGCTCAAAGGGGGTGAGGGGAGTCCTCCCACCAGGGATGAATGAGGCACATTTACAGGCCAAGACCAGAACCAAGCAGGAGAAGCCTAAAGCATCTGTGAGCTGTGAAGCAGGAAGAAGTCTTTAAGTTTAGTGAGAGTTGATAGTGTCTTCAAATATGCACAGAGCTCAGCTTCCAGGGTCTGGAGAAATGAGACGGCATCCAGGAGCTGCAAGTCCAGGGACTGGCCACAGAGCAGGTGGGCCGAGGCAGAGAGCTGCTGCTGAGTGGCACCATCTCAGCTTGGCCAATGGTGTCATGACCTGGGGGCAGTGGTCCTTTAACTTTGTTAAGGCCATGAGAATCTGATGAAAACCATAAAATATCCACCAACCCCCGGACCCCAGAAAAACACAGACACACATATACAGATAACATTTTTCATATGATTTCAGGGAGTCCATGGACCACCCACTGGAGAACTAACTACTTTAGGGCAAGGGTGTCAACCTGAGTAAAGTCACTGATACAAACTTATCTTTACACTGCTTGTATTTCCTGACTGTTCCCCTTTTGTTGTTCCCCAATATTTAGAATGTTGTGAAATTTATTTTTAATTGGAGCCAAGGAAAGGGGGTCCAGCCTGCACTCCAGCCAGAGAAATGGAGCAGCTGTGCATGGCAGTGGTAGCAGCCAAGAGGCAAAAATAAACAAAAATATGGGGTCACATGTACTGCTACCATTCCCACCCAGAAGGCCTCTTTAGGAGTTTTTCTCAACTCAAGAGAAGGGTGGTGAGAAGTGATTGGGGGAGTGGGGGCAGTTGTTTATTTCCTTTTATTTATTTATTTATTTTTTTTTTGCATTCAGGACTTTTATTGGGGATTTATACAAGAAACAATATCTGTGAGCAGAAAGGGAAACAATGTTGGGAAAAGAGATCAGTTTATGTGAGGTACAATTACAAAATAAGTTCCACCAATCCTTCAAGAAGTCTTGAAGGTCCGTCCATAGCATACAATTCAGCACTTAATATATATTTGTTAACTAAATGCAAAACATGTAGTAAATTCAGTATACTAGTACACTATTGGCAACCTCCTTGTTTCTAGAGATCCTGTAAAAATGAAGCCAATTTATATTGGTAGCCATTTTTGATGGATCCTAGGTCAGAAATTCTAGTCAATACAAGCATTTTAATTCACTTCAATACCTAATCTGTGATTAACGTATTTGGAATAACATGCCATTGGTAGAGAGAAAAATAGCATTCTGCAATTACATATAGAACATGGACATCTTCACCTGTATATAACTCAGGATGTAAAAAAATATCACCGTGCACATTGATTTTACCTGGCTCTGGATGTTTAGTCAGGTGCTTCTCAGTCTTGTGGGGAAATCTTTTAAGCATTGACTCCTAAGATTTTCAAGGCTAGTTTCAAGTATGTGAATTGGAAAAACTGATCCACATTTCTTCTGGTACATAAAATCAGGGTCTGGGCTATTAAGGGATTCTTGGAATCCCTTACTTTCTTGACCATTCTGCTTACTAAGCCATTGCAAGTTATCATTTCCCTAATTGATGCTTGTACTCATGAAGTGTAACATCATCATTAACCAAAATCAATTAAGCACCTACAAGAACATGGCCTTTCTCTTGGGCTCTGGCTAATTTATACATGATCTTATGCCTCTGGGTTAGGGAGTTAGGTTTTTAACGCTTTTAGCAATTCCATTCTGTGAGAAAATTTCATTTCCAAATTTAGACTTCCCATTGATGAGAAAAAAATGAGGGAAGCAGATGATTATTATGCAGATTAAGGACGTCATTTAAAAAACACAGTTGATTAAGGCATTGTTAGCCCTTCATGAATGGAACAGAAATAGAGCCATGGCAAATATTAATATATTCATTAATGTTAATTTGATTAGTTTTTATTCTACGTAGATAAATCCTCTGTAGTGAAAACTTTGACTCTGATCATGTGGCTGCTGTGATTTAGAGTAAAAACAATTTGCCCAGCATGGAGACAACTTCGCTGTGAGGAGTTAGACTTGGAGAAAGAGACTTGTTCTTTTTCTATAAATGACAGGGGTCCTGTGTCTTAGAGTTACAGAATTTAGTACTTTAAATTTAGAAGTATAAGATAATGATATTATAGGCAGTTTATAGGTTATACCCAACCATTTTTAGACATTATCTCAGAATTTCCAGTAAATTTTATATAGTCAATGCAGTAGTAAAATACTTAAGATTAATAAAAATATGAAAGATTCATATTTATCTCTAAAATGGTATGTATTGAATATGTAGTGAAACAATATTTTTTTTTAATTTTTTTATTGCTTAAATTATTACAAAGAGTATTACATATGCGTTTATTTCCTTTTAGAAAGCCATTCCTTCACTGGCTATAGGGTCTAAAGTTCTGCAGTCAATCCCCCACCCCAACCTTCCCCCTCCTTATCCCGATGAATACACCTGAGCAACGGCCCTGTGATTCATGCACATTTGGCAGGTGTCCTATGAACAATCATATATACACATGCTCTTTCATAGAAGAAGGAAAAGTGGGGTGGAAGGGGTTCCTGCACTCTCCACAGAGGATTAGACTAACTGGAAGAATCAGCAAAACCACTCCAAGGACTCAGTGCACATTAGCTTCCAACCACCTCCATAGCTCCTCCTTCTGGCCAGAGCCCAACCAGAAGGCAAAGTCATAGCTATGTCCTATGCCCCTTCCTAAATTTACGGCCCCAAAATCATGGGCCAGGACTGAAGGGATCACTGGGGTTCAGAGAGCAGGGGTGGGGAAAGCCCTGATTCACTGCAGAGAGAAGTTGTGATCTCTCATGGGAATCAGGAATCAGGACACAGACAAAGGCCTGGCCCGGAACCCATCTAGGGCCAGAGAGGGCTGACACTGAAGTCAAGTGATCACTCAAAGGCCAAAGAGAACTCAGAGGCCATGATGGTTTTCCAGGCCCAGTGACCCCAACATCTCAATAGTCACTCCAATCCAGTGGCCATTCATGCACTAATGGACACATGCCCAGCCCTAGATGGGTGTTTCATCATATGTGGCCAGAGGAGCCCCAGTTAACCGACTATAGGCTGGGCTCGGGCAAGGATCAAGCAGAAAAGGTGGAGGGAAGCCACCAAAGCCACTGCACCTCTTCCCTAGAACCAGAGGCAGCTGCTCATCTTCAGGAGAGAGAGGGAGGATCCTGGTTGAGGCTTGGGGTCCCAGATGGCGGCGCCCCCGGGTCCAAGCCCACCTTGTCTCTAGCCAGAAGTTCCCTCTGTCGCTGTCGCTGCTGACATAGACCAATCAGGAAGAGAGTCAGGGATGATGCAAGAATCCCGAGAAAAAAGACAGCCAGTCCAGTCCCCACAGTCCGGGCCCGTCTTGCAGGGCCCAATTGGCTGCCCCATACCAAGGTATAAGCCGCTACCACTCGGGCTGCCCCACCCTCCTGACATTCACAAGCATAAGCACCCATGGCCCCTGGGGTTACCACCACCTCTAGCCCATCCCTCCGAGGGGTAAAAGCAGTCACTCCACTGGGCTGGTGCCACACACAGGATGCCCAGGCTGAGCTTGGGGAACATGGCAAGACCACATGCACAGCTGTAGCCACAAGAACTTCAAACACTACTGGGTGTTCTGCAGAGAAACAGCAAAGGCATAAAAGGTAGTGAGGCTATAGGCTGGGGGGTGGAGGGCTGATGAAGAGAAACATAGAGGGATATCAGATTTGAGAAGGAACCATGGGGGCAAAGCTAAAAGGAGATTCCCAAAAAGGGTAAGGCCCAGGTCACTGGCTACCATATCTTCCAGGATCCAACTTTCAAAGTGGGTCCAAAATGGACAACTTTCTAGCCTCTTTCCACCCAACTCAACCCACATTTCCCTAAACCAGACAGACCTCCAGGCTCTTTAGGACACAAAGAAGAGACATCCGCTGATTCTATGTCTTGGACCAGCCTACAAAGAAGAGAATATTTGATAAATCCAGTGTCAATATTCCCTTCTATACTCCTCAGTACCACAGAATACTCACTCACTCGTTATATCTCCCATCATCTCATTAATCACTCCTGGAATTATCAGTCAACATTCTCATCATTAAAATTTCCCCCAATGCTCCTCATGACGATTAACATGTCAAATTCTACATACCTTCTAGCAGACCATAGAAAATTAAATTTCACTAGGTCTGTCAGAAGGATGTTATGTGGTGTGCTTTAAAAAAAACATTGGAGCCCTAACTGGTTTGGCTCAGTGGATAGAGCGTCGGCCTGCGGACTGAAGGGTCCCAGGTTCGATTCCAGTCAAGGGCATGTACCTTGGTTGCAGGCACATCCCCAGTGGGAGGTGTGCAGGAGGCAGCTGATCGATGTTTCTGACTCTCTATCCCTCTCCCTTCCTCTCTGTAAAAAAAAATCAATAAAAAAAAAAAAAAACATTGGAACCTTCAAGAAATATAGCTGACTGTCCACACCATAAGATTTCTCTGGAAAAAAATATTAAAACTACAGGGTGGTCTGGGGTTTTTTTTCTGTTAAAAGAAAGTGAGGACTTCTCTATAAAAGTTAATCAAAATTCTGTGAGGGTCAGTCAGTGCGATGACTTTGTTTCATAATGCTGCTCATCTCTATATAGGAACTCTTTCTTCAACAACTCTTGGTACCTATTGGCCTCTAACAGATCTGTTTCAAATCATATAATCTTGGTACTTTCAGGATTTCAATGGACTGTGTCTGACAGAAGGACAGCAAGACAGGCTGCTCACTCTGAACTTCCTGGCACCACTACCACAGGGAGGGAGGGAGGCCAGGGAGAACTCTAGTGGGCTGTCAGTGAAGACCAGGTGGAACACACAAAAGCTTCAACCAAAAGTAGATTCCGTTTGAGTGTGAATTCCTTCAACATGAATTGGAGCCCCTGAAATAAGCTCTGAGACTAGTATGAATATGTTTAAGTCTCTGGGTAAAACCAAGTTTGCTTAGTCTAGCTGACAGTGGGGAACATGGGAAGGCCATAGGTGTGGCTATAGCCACAGGAACTTCATGGTCTATGTTTTCTCCCTTATATGAATTGAGGTATGAAGGGTAGAGTGCACAGAAGTACCAGCTTGGTCATTTCTCACATTACTAAGAAGTATACTGGCATGTATGCACACCCCACATCCTACACACACATACATATATATGTGGAGGGGACCCCAAGGCTCAAGGACACAGGCTATCCAACACCAATTAAATTCTTATTTTAATGAATATTAAAACAAAGGAAAGAATAAAACATTTGTTTTCATCTGAGATGTGTCAAAGTTCTCCCAAGAGAAACTAAAATACCAGATCAAAGTTCTTAACCAAAATCAATGAACAAAAACAAGTACTTTTACTTCTAAAGTATTTGTAAGATTGGGATTTAGTAATATGCATAAATATACAGTTAATTAACTGGGCTTCAAAATAGGAATTCATGAAGTCAGTCTGAAAAAATACCTTCCAAGCAATCAATTAAAAATTACTCATTTGAAAGGAATCTTAATTAAATATTAAAAGACTTAAGAAACATATCAACCAATTACAACTGATGGACATTATTTTAATCCTGACGTAAGCAAACTATCTTTAAGTATATGCAACTGGGAAAATCAAACATTGATTAGATAGTTATGACATTAAGAAAGTGAGTTTGCACTATGATAATGATAATATGGTTACATTTTTTAAAGCCTTTCTGTGTTAGAGATACACACAGAAAGATTTATGGATGAAGTGATATGATGTCTAAGATTTGCTTTAAAATAATTGGGAGTGAGTGAAGATAGTGATCAAGTAAGGCTGGTCAGTTGATGGTTGTTGAAGCTGAGTGATAGATACATGGAAATTCATTATACTATCTAGTTTTTGAATGTTTAAATTTCCTATAATAAAATGTTTTTAAGAGAGTTCTTATCTGATACAGATATATAATGAAATATTGTAGATGCATATAATGTCAGGAATATGATTCAATGTAGCACATGATTTTAAGTTAACTACTGAGTGGAAAATGGGTGACGGGATGCCCAAATGGACAAAACAAGACCAATTTGGAGGTTATTGGAGTAATCCAATTAAGAAATGATGATGCCTAGGACAAGAGTGATAGCAGTAGATAAAAAGAGAAGTGGCTGTGGACTGAGGATATAACAGATGGAGCTAGAGTCAGTACCAACTGCAATATAGTGTGGGCAATTTCCAGCTTGATCAACTGGATTCACAGAGGTCCCTTCAGAGAACCATGTGAAAGAACGAGAAAACAACAGTGCATGCTAAACCTACTGAATTTGAGCAGTTTATAAAGCATCCAAGTAGGCAGTTGGATAAGGAATTGTGTAGCTCAACTACAGATACATCTGTAGTTGTCAACAACACTCAGTTGGTGTTGAAAATAATGGGAATGATATCACCTAGAGAGTGTGTAGACGTGTAAAAAGAAGGACTGAACCGTGAGAAATATCAAAATTCAGAAAATGCATGGAAAGGAATGAGTAAAGGGAGACAGGTGGTGAGACAGGGAGGAAAACTAGGAGAATGCAGAGTGTTACAAGGCAATAGGAAAGAGTATTCAAAGAAGGAAGGAGGGAGTGGGCAGCTGTGGAAACACTTCTAGAAGCTATTATAACAGGGAAACTGAGCAGTGTATGGCACCATAAAAGTCAGTCACATGGTCTGGGGCAGGTCCAGCAAAGTGGCAGGAACATGCATAAGGCCGCACGATGGACAAACAGATGAGTTAGTAGGGACTGACAAACACAGTGACACTAAAAGAAACACACATGGCAGCATGAACAGATCAGAAACAGGCAGATATATGGAGAGGTCAGAGCTCTGTGACAGCAGGCAAGAGGTCAGGGCAGCCAGACTCACCCGCCATGCTCCTCAGCATGGGCCACACAGGCATCTAGCTGGAAGCTCCAGGCACAGACAGGGTCTTGGGCCAGGATGCACTCTGAGCAGCTCTGGAGACGTCCACAGTTGGTTGTGTTCACTTGTGTTACCTCAGTATGGGAGCCAACCAGGAGCCAGCTCTAGAGAAAGTGAGTAAAAAGGAGGACTATGCTGCATCTCCCAGACTTCGTGGTCACAAGCTAGCTCAGATGTCTCCCCAACAGACTCCCCAAAATCTATGACTCACTTGATACAATTTCAAATTCTCAACTGGCTGTGGCTCTGGGAATAAGGCCAGATCCTCAAGGACGCTGAGCTTGGCTCCAATCCGCACAGCTCTGTGCAGGTGTCCATCCTCTGGAAAGCAGGCAGAGGGCACGACACAATGACACACTGTACCTGTGCCTTGGACTCTCAAACCTGTTAGTATACAACCCTCTCTTTGACAAGAGCATGTGTGCACGGGATGGGCAATGTACTTGGCTACTAAACATACCTGTCGCCAGGTAGAGCACATCGTACTCTTTCCCTGAGAGACTGGCCACCCTGTGGCCCACAACTCTGAGATAGACTGTATCTGTAGTGATCAGCAGGGAGTGGCCATCAGCTGGAAGCACTGGCCTGTCCATGAGGGGGTGATCCCGGATGAAGATGAGCACACGGTCAGGCAGGAAGAGTGATGAGTTAAACTGCTGGAATTTCGGGTTATTAGCGATGCACTAGGGAAAACACAGGATAGGTGACAATGTTTCCTAGGGGCCAGGAAGTATCCGCAATGCTTACTTGGGCTCTTGCTCTAATGAGGCGATTCTGGCATGGGGTGAAGAGCTGCCCCAGACCACTTACCTCTCCAGGTCTGGGCTGGGGTACATCACTGTCCATGACAGGCTGTCCCCTGTTGCAGACATCTTTCAGCTCCCTGAAGGGACCATTCAGCACTGTCCGAATGTCTTGTGGTAGGAAGGCACAGACAGCCGAGATGGCAGCCCCCTCCCTGGAAGAGACACAGGTTGGAGCCTGATATCTGAAGAGCACTAGGGAACAACTCACCCCATGTCAAATGAGATGACCCATAAGAAATGCATAGGAGCCATGCAGCCGGCTCCTGGGAGAAGCCACCCCCTCTGGAAGAGACAGCACTGAAAGGTGCCAGCCCCACATTATCTCCCACCCTGTAATTCTCCTCCACACCAGGACCCCCTCACCACTGGGAGGAAAAGATGCCATAAAAGATGGGGGCCCCCACTCCAGTCTCAGGTCGAAGAATAGCCATGTCCTGCAGGACACTAGAGGCCCGGCCATCTTCAGGCCCTGGACACAGCAGGTCAGCCTTCAGAAAGGTCGTCCACCTCTGTTGGAGGGTCTTCCGGCCCCCAAGGTCCCCCTGGGGTGACAAGAGCATGGGTGTTTCTCTTTAGAAGACAAACATTGTAGGGAGAATGTGGAGACCAATACGAGTTTCCCCCAGACAAGGATAGATGGAGAGACAAGACGCATAAAAATGCAATGTAGAGATACAGACAGTTAGCAGTTGGGAATGATACAGGGGTAGACAGGGTCACAATGACGGGGACTAAGTTCATTGTTGCCCTTACGAAGTACTATACTATGTGCTTTACATACCTTATCTCAGGTAGGCCTCAAAACAACCCTTATAGCTAGGCATCATCAATATCCTCATCTATAAGGATGCTAAAGAACCTGCCCCAAGTCACAGAGGCAGGAAGTAGTGGAGCAGGGTCTGGAGTCCAGATCTGTCTACAATACCCACCTTTAACCTCTACACCTCCTAGGGACACTGTGTCACAAGGGTAGTTATGGAGTTAAAGGGGCTAGAGCCCTTTCCCCATACTCTTCAAGCTCCCAGGAAATAAGTCAAGACAGGGAAAATGGAGACAGAGGAGAAATGTAAAGACAGAGACTCAGAGAAGAAAAGACAGATACCACGCAGAGCAAGAGACAACAGACAGACAGCTGGGATCGGAGTCTCACCGCACACACACGGGCCACCCGAGGAACTTTAAGGCGCTCGTATGAGTCAAAGGCTCGAGAAGTCTCCGTAAAGAAGAAGTAGATTTCCTTGTCTCCGTCTTCATCCCCCCACTCAGCTGGCCTCAAGGCCACGGCTGCGACAAAGGCTGGAGCTGGGAAGACCTGTGGCCTCAGATCCCACAGACTCAGTGTGGTGCCACCCAGCCTCCACCCACCCTCTCTGTCCCCAGAGTACCCCTCTTCCTCTCCCCACCGTTAAGCCAGGATGCCAAGGTCTCTGTCCGAATCCAATCCTCAGCACGGCCCACAGCCCGGGAGATAATCGGCTCCGTCCCCAGGTAGTTTCTCACAGTGGCAGCATAGAGAGCCCCCCCTGCAGGGAGACAGGGAGGAGATGAGCTGAGACCTGCTGAAGGATGCAAAAGGGGCAACAGACAGAGCAGGGATAAAGCAGGGGTAGGAACTCTCAGGGGCTGAGGGCCCATTAAGTGCAGGGCACTGCTAAGCACAGGAGAGGATTCCCTCATTTAAAATCATCCTGGATATAAAGTGCTCCAGGGCAGAGTGGGGAACCAGTGTTTACAGGAAAGTGCCAGAATGTTAATGTATATGAAGGGAGAATGAAAGCTGCCCTAGTATCCCGAACAGTGTGGCTCAATGGGTGAGCATCGACCCATGAACCAGGAGGTCACAGTTCAATTCCTGATGAGGGCACTTGCCTGGCTTGTGGGCTTGATCCTCAATAGGGCACATGCAGGAGGCAGCCAATCAGTGTTTCTCCCTCATCATTGATGCTTCTAGCTCTCTCTCCCTCTCTCCCTTCCTCTCTCTGAAACCGATTATATAAAGAAGAAAGCTACCCTTGTGGAAATCAGGCTGTTTGGTT